ACAGTGTATGAGATTCCATACAAGAAGTCCTTTAAAAAGTATTCCTTTTTATTTCAATTGCATTTTATGTATATTGGGACAATGCTGAATGACAGCAAAATATCTACAACATCTTCGGACTTGTAAGGGTTAAACTATATATAATAAAAGGCCATGTTGACATCAATCTTCTTCTTATCCCCTCTTTATTAGCTGATTTAAAATAAGCACACACTGTTAGACGTGTAACATAGATGTGTAATGTGTAATGTGTAATGTGTAAGTCATATTAAAGGCGTTCTGTATGTATGTATGAACATACAGAACGCCTTTAATACAACTTACACGTTACACCTCACACATTACGCGTCTATGTTGTAAACAGTGTGTGCTTATTTTAAATTCAGGGCATCGGTAAAGGAAATGGTCTCAGGCCCACAGACCGGAAAAAACTTCACCTAGGTGAGAGATCACTCTCCCTCTGCTATGTTACCTAACTCAGACCTACTTTACAACACAACGTTAACTCTTTGAGGCCGACACAATAACAAGGCTATATCTCCAGTTTAATCTGCTCTTTTATGCTGACCCTGTGATCTCAGCACATTGTTACCTTTATCTAACGGTAAGAACTAACGCAGCCAAAAAATCTGCAGACTTTTAAAAACTTTGTTGTCACAAACGTCTTGGGCCTCTGCTCCCACAAAAAAGACTAAATGAAACTCATTTTCTGATTGGATATGTTGGTTTGGTGCCTCCCTTCCAACCAAAGTGCAAACTTTACTTCTAATGTTATGACGGTGCCCACAGGAACATCTATGAGAAGCTGCAGAACGATAAACGGAAAACAAAACAAACAAAAAGTGCTGCATCAGAGAAGCAGAGAAAGCTGTCTTAGTCGTATCGTTCAGCCTCAACAAACCTGCAGTTCTTCTAATCATGTCTGATCATCACATCCATTAGTGTCCTGCAGTATTTCTCAAAAGAAAAATCAACTGCAACTTAAGCCGTTAACTGAGAGGACAAGCAATGAGAAGGCAAAAAACAAAAAAAGACTGCAGACATTAAATCGGAGAAACTATGGATGAGCATTTTGCTGTTTTGCACGTCCTGATGCGAAAGTAATGTAAATAGTAATTAGGGATGCAAATTCTTTTGACCAATTACCAGTCATTATTGGTCTGTGATTAATGTTAAGCAGGCTGAAACAAAGCTAAAATGAAGAACGTGACCCATCAAAATATCAATAATAAAACGGAACTGAAATCTGATTGGCTAAGCCATTATTGAAGCTCTTGTAAAATACTACATATACACACATTTATAAGTATACACACTAACTAAATCCTGTGTTTATGCACTGAGATATTAAATAGACCACTGGATGCCGTTCTAACAGGTGGGACCAGGCATTAGTGTGAATATGAAATAAACAGTGCAAAACTATATTAAGAAGACCCGACACAAATCATTTGTTTCGACTAAGGGACTGAAATCTGTAATATGTTAATGATTAAATGACCTAAAACGAATGAAATGAGTGGAATACACAATGATGGCCTACTAAAAGTTCTCTATTCATCCTCTTGAAACTTTGTTTTCCATGTTTAGTTTGTATGCTTTTTTTATTAACTGTTTTAATAATTTAAAATATTTAATAAATTAATCTTCTGAAAACTACCTCACCCATTGTATAGTTATGCATGCTACTTGCATGCTAATAGCACCTCTCAACTGAGAAATTTCAGACTGTAAAAACTATATACACTTCTTACAAATTGCCACATGCTTTGTTTAAAAAAACAAGGTGTTTTCCTCTTTACTGCAGAGTCTTTTTGGAGTTATAGTTGCCTTTGGAAAACCATGTAGTTTTATATTGTAGCATTCTGACACATTTAAAGAAGACACACAGCTTTTGCACAAGTCATTGTGCTATATTAACCCCCTGGGGTCTAAAGGCATTTTCTTGATTACTGATCTTCTTAAATTTGCCTTTAAAGGCACTTGTATATAACATGACACCCATACGTTTCATATCAATCTTATCTTCATTGCTACTTTCCAAAAACACTGCAGCAACTTCAGCAGCTGTAACTTTTCACACAACATTTCATGTGTCTCAGATGTCGACTGAATGAAGAATGTAGGGTTTCCGGCAAGATGGGTCAGTCCTTAGTGATTTCTTGAGTGTCCATTGGTCAGTTTTACACAAAATGTAGATGGACACACGAATCCACCAATTAAACATGGTGAGATGCAGATGACGTGTATCCCAGCCCTCTTCACAGCCTCATAATTCTAGATATGAGTCACATACGATCTCGTGATAAGATGGAGTCAAAAGGGCGACTCTACAGATTCAGGAAATGTTTGAAATATGTTTTGTGCTGTACTATGGCAAAGATAGAAACATATATAGGAACACTGAATTTGATGCACGGGTGAGACTGTGGACCACAGAGGGTTAAAGGGCTATAGTTGGCCACAGCCGCGCCATACAATAGCAAGGCTTTTGACTAACAGCAAGCTTAAAAACACAGCTTCCAGCTCTGATTGACCACAGTTCTTCCTGTGGTAACAAAAATATTTCTTCAAAGAAGAAACATGCGGAACATTTCTCAAACACATCACAACATTTTCAGAATTTGAATAATTTACCTAACCAGTGGGATCCTTCAGCTGTATAGAAAATGCTGCAAATGGTTGTAAATCACACCCTAGGAAACCCACAGTTTAGGGGAACTTACTCCACTGTTACCTTTTTAAGGCCTCATAATAACCCAACGTTTGCACAGGAAAAGTAAATAAAACCTTATGCGTACATATTATTTAATATTATGTAGCAAGCTGATAAAAGGAAATCCTCTCTATTTCCTGTTAGGTCTTTTTCCCAACACAGCTATGACTGCCTTTTATGCATCATCATCAGGTTACTTGTCAGTCATCAAAGATATCCATTACATCACCCCATCCATTACAGCCTAATGTGTTCCTCATAGTGTGTTTGACTTAGTGGGTTACGTAAGTGTGCTCAGAATGACAACTCATACAATTTACACTGTATCAGCTTTTCATATTTTTATATATTACTCAATTGACATATTTTACTAAGTAGTTTTTTCTCTTTTCGTTGTCTTACTCTTCACACGTACCATCTTCAAATCACAAATGTGTTTTTTTACAAAGTAATCAAACATTAAGTTGAGTTAGTCTGGTTCACCTGACTAACCTACCTGACTAACTCATCTTAGTGGACTTTACAAAGTAAAATCATGCACTATAATTTGAAGCCGGCAATAAAGACACGTCTCAAACCCAATACTGCTGTTTTAAACATTGGCAGGACAGCCAGTCAGAACACAGCTCATTTTCCTACAAGTCTTAAAGGCACAGAAACTAAAGCCTGTTTGATTCTAAACAGCTGTTGCACACATATATCAAAAGTGGATCTGAAGGAAAAGGAGGGGGTTTAAGTTTGTAATTTATTATCATTTCTATTTCATGGTTAAGAATACTTTCTATTCTTGTTCTTCCTTTTTTGTACAGCATTAGTAAATAGTCCTGTGAGTTATCTCACACTTGGTGTGGAACAGAGCAGACACTGTGTACGGAAAAAAATAATCTGCTGCAGATATCAGACATTGGCAACAATAAACACATTCACGAGCACTTTTGTAATCTGATAATGGGACAACTCAGACTCTAAATGAGTCACCCCATAATCAGGTTTCCTTCCAAGTTCAGCATGACACCAAAGGCACCATGTCAACACACCAATGAAGGGAGTTTCATGGCTTCAGTGTGCGTAATGCTTTCATCATCATTTCTTGGTTGTCAATGGTGATGGGCAATATGACGATATTTCACTGTTATTGTGATGAATCTTGTGAATGTGATATACAATATCCTTCTAGTAGTATATTGTGTATATTGTCTGCACTTTAAAAACACTGACCAGCGGCATGTTTCATGAAAAAGGATAACATAATTCGTGCAGAATTTAGCGCAGTACAGTATGTGAAATTAATAAAAATCTAATAAAAATTGATTTATAGAAATCAAATACAGAATCATTGTACTCATTGTACTCATAATCATTGTAGTTTTCAAATGTAGCCCTGCTGGTGCATTGTGTCTAAGTGTCAGAATATCGTGATATGTATCATATATCAGGGAAATGTCTTTAGGTATCGTGATATGACAATTTTGTCATATCGCCCAGCCCTAGTTGTAACATTAAAATAAGTATTTAGTGTTTACTTCTCTCTGCAACAGCAACAATAATAAGAAGAATAAAAACAAAAACAATAATATGAATAGTAACAATAAAAAATCTGACTCACAGCCTAATGTGTTCTGTAGAATGGGGTAAACCACACCTTGTACTTAGAAATCATGTAACTGCTTACTACTGCAAAACTACACTGCTGTTGAAGCCTAGCTGTCAGTAGCAGCTGACTCTTCTGAAAACTGAGACACTTATGATTTTGCCACCTACCCTTTATTATATTATACAGCATTTTTTTATATGAGCCTGAATTTAATAATTCCTCATAATAATATAACAGTTTGTAGTTAATTGAAGAGTCAGTAGTTAAACAGCTGTTCGAATAGTTAATATAACTGGATGCCCCCTTCCTTATCACAGCTCTGGTAAAGAAAGGCTCTCATCTAAGCGCCATTCTTCCTGTTTACAACAGCACCACCTATTGGACAAACTGCAGGCCTACATCTCAAATTCTGCAAATGCAGCTACTATACAAAAAAGTGTTGCTCTTAATAGCAGTTGCAAGTTTATTCCTTTGCCCAATGAGTATACATGATTATCCCAATCACTATGTTACAGTAGCACACATGGATGTCCACATAGCACATCCTTTTCAGGGACATTTCAGGGACTACAGCTTTGGGTACGCGTACAAACTCTACAGAACTGCATTTTGATTGAAAAATGGCCTTTTAGAAGTAGTGAAGCAGCCTGGATTTTAAGTGTAAACTCCCTGAGGTAATTGCTGTCTTACCTACTGTATGTCAGCCTACAGTACTGCATCCTTCAGGAGTCTGACCTGCAGGAAAAGTAGATTATTTTTAAATGTTATTGATTACAATTAAAAGGATTATCTTTTGAAAATTTCCCAAATGTGGTCTACAAATCCATCAAAAACTGTGCTTGGAATGGAGCTCCCACATTTGATCATAACTCTAAGCCCTCTGAGGTAAGTGCTGTCTCATTTTATGTTAGCATACAGTACACAAGCCTTCAGGAGCCACCTCAGAGTTTGAGGTGAGTGAGGACAAAGTTTATTCCTTTTCTCATAAATACTAATAATATTATCAGTTATCACTTACATTGTTTAATCATTTAGAAACACTCAATAGCAATATAGCAATAGATAGTAACCGCCTCAGAGTTTGGTGTGAGGAAAAAGTTTATTAAATTATTTTCCTCATAAATACACTTGAGTATATAAGTAAAAGGATCATTATCATTCAAATCATTATACACAGCAGTCCAGGAGCAGCAATGGAATTCAGAACCAAAACGTTAATGACTAAATAAGAGCTCAGAAAAAAGGCAGATTGCTTTCCTATGTGTAGAAGTAAAAGTATCATTTGAAAATACCAAAACTAAGTGAATGGAGTCAACTGTAAACTTCCTGAGGCAAATGCTGTCTTACCCAGCGTATGTTAGCATACAGCAGAGTAGCCTTCGGGAGTTTCACCTGAGGAAAAAATAGATAGTGAGATAGTGAGAACAAAGTTTATTCCTTTCCTCAAAAACATTCTAAACATATTATCAATTATCATTTACATCATTTCATCGTTCAATACTCAATAACAAACTGAGCTGAAGTGAATGATACTGAGGGAACAGAACTACAGTTATGGCCAAATGATGGAGCTCCATTCACTCCATAATGTATACTTAAGCACAGGTTTTTGATGAATTTGTAGACTACATTATGAGTATTTTCAAAGGATTTCAATCATTTTAATTATATTTAAATACATTTTTGAGGAAAATAATCTACATTTAATAATAATCTACAGTCAAACTACTGAAGGCTACTGTATGCTAATGTACACAGGGTATGACTGCATTTACCTCAGGGAGTTTCAAGCTGACTCCATTGAGTTTTGGTAACGTTACTTTCAAATGATACTCTTACTTGTACACATAAGAAAGCAATCTACTTTTTACTCAGTTCCAATTTAGTTCGCGTTATTAACATTTTGGTTCTCAATTCCATTGCTGCTCCTGGACGACTGAGTATATTCAAAAGATAAATCTTTTTACTTTTATTCACGTATATTTATGAGGAAAGTATCTTTTTCCTCACGTTAATCTCTGTCTATGCTTAAGTCTATGCTAGCAGACACTGAGAAGAGTTCTTACAGTTGAAGAAGGCGCTCTCTGAGGTAAATTCTGTAGACTAGCCTTCAGAAACCGCCTAACAGTTTGAAGTGAGTGAGGACAGTTTGTTCCTTTCCTCATAAATATACTAAAAATATCAATTATTTACATTGTTTAGTGGTTTAGAAATACTCAATACTCACAAACAAGCTTTGCCGTAAACTGTAAACCCTGCTGTCTTACCCAGTTTAGCATAGACAGAGTGGCCTTCAGGAGTTTGATCTAAGAGTAGATTTTCCTCATAAATGTTGTTGAGTATAATTAAAAGGATTATCATTCGAAAATCCTAATAATGTAGTCCACAAATTCATCAAAAACTGTGCTTAAGTATTACACTTACTGAGTGAATGGAGTTTATTTGGCCGTAACTGTAAACCCTCTGAGGTAAATGTTGTCTTACCCAGTTTATGTTAAGATACAGTAGACTAGCCTTCAGGAACCACCTCAGTTTCAGTTAAGAACAAAGTTTATTCCTTTCCTCATAAATACTAAAAATATTGTGCTGTACACTGTAAACTCTCTGCTGTCTTACCCAGTGTAGCATGGAACAGAGTGGCCTTCAGGAGTTTCATCTGAGGGAAGAGAAGATTTTCCTCATAAATGTTGTTGAGTATAATTAAAATGATTACCATTCAACAATACTCATAATACAGTCTACAAATTCACCAAAAACTGCTTAATTAGTACACGTAACCGACTGAATGGAGCTCATTTGGTCAGGACTGTAAACTAGTAGACTAGCCTTCAGGAAACCGACTCAGAGTTTGAGGTGAGTGAGGACAAAGTTCATTCCTTTTCTTGTAAATATACTAAAAATATCAATTATGTACATCGTTTAATCGTTTACAAATACTTAACACTCACAAACTGTTCTGTAAACTGTAAACTCTCTGAGGTAAATGCTGTCTTACCCAGTTTAGCATAGAACAGAGTGGCCGAGTTTCATCTGAGGGAAGATTTGAGAGGATTTTCCACATAAATGTTATATAATTAAAAGGATTTTCAGTCGAAAATATTAATAATGTGGTCTACAAATTCATCAAACATGTGCTTAGGTAACGTTAGTACACGTAACTGAGTGAATGGAGCTCTTTTGGTCAGGACTGTAAACCCTCTGAGGTAAATGCTGTTCTACCCAGTTTATGTTAGCATACAGTAAACTAGCCTTCAGGAACCGCCTCAGAGTTTGACGTGAGGGAAAAAAATCAGGTGTGTACTGTTCTCTCTCCGAGGCGGAGTCAGCCTTCAGGTGTGTTCGTATTGGCCCTAGGCGACACTATTCCGCTCCTTCGAGACGGATTTTAAGAAATGCTAAACTGAAAAGTGATCAGGAAATCGATTATTGAGCCCCATCGCCGGACTCCGCGGATTATTTTGAGGGGGGCGGTGACAAACCTGAGCACACGTGAGGACTAAACGTACGGCGGAGACGGTTTACTGTTACTCTTCAGTCGTGACCACAGTTTATTTTCACACGTAGAAGGTCTGTATTCCTGCTGGAGGAGTGTTATTGCTGTGGAACATGAGGAAATCATCAACTTCAGGTGAGAACGACTAAATTCGACCGTTTGCTCCTGTTGTAATGACATCAGTGCATTACAGTCATTACAGCAGGAAGCCTCAGTTATCCCTGGATAGGAGTAAATGGGTTTAATACTGACAAACAGGCAGCCAGTATCACTGAGTCCTCAGAACTGCATGGAAAACGGCTCTGTAGTCATGACTCAGCCCAGATTAGTTAGCCTATACCAAAATAACTGCAAACAGACCACAGTGATTTATGACAGAGGCTGGCAGTCCTCCACACAGATCTGAATTCCAGGATGTTAAACAGATAGAAAAGCCGGTTATCCAGGTTGTCTTACTCAGTTTAGCTGTTTGCCGCCTGCTGCCACTAAAAGGGCATCTCCACCAGTTTTCAAAATTTCTGAATAACTCAGTCCTTGAGATGTAAACAGAGTCATTCAAAGCGGTTTGGTGTGAAAGGGTTCACTGTAGAGATTTCTTTGCAGTGGTGGTGATGGGAACCAGGGATCACCATGTTGCCATGCCATCAACATTGATGATTGTAAAACAGTGATAAATCTGGAAAAATAAGCTTTCTTTGGGGACTGTTTTGGGGCCTTGCAACACCTCCACCATGAATGGATCAAAATAAATGGATTCAAATACATTTTACGCCAAAATTTTATCATTTCGCAAAACTATCATAATGTAATAACTTTCTGTGAGGGAGCATTGAACTCTTCAGACGTCTGGTTCTTATCACAATTTTGAATTGTGAACAGTGAGCATTTCACACCAAACCTCTCTGATTGACTCTGTTTCTATCTCATTTAATTGTTTGGATTTTTTTGAAAAATCGGTGGAGTTCCCCTTTAAAAGCTAGATGGGTGTGTCATATAACCCCATAACCAGCCCCCACACCCCCCACAAAGATAACTAACTGTATGGCAAGTTCCATCCAGTTCTCTACAATCTTGATATTGCACTGTTTCTGGATCCACAGACCGATGTTTCCATTCCTAACGCTCATGTCAGCTGTAACGTGAGCCTAGATTTGAGTCGGTGGGTTCAACAGAGAGTTTAACTGAAATGAACTGAATGCAGCTTTATTCTCCGTAGGTGGAGGAACGCCTTTAGCTTCAGCTGGCACAACAACACAATGCAAACAAAAATAATATGTACAATGTAGTTGCATATCAGTGCAGTGAGAACCAAACAAAGCTTTACAGGAGAAGTAAAACACAATCTCAACTTTCTATTGGACCATTTATGATGAAATGTTCACATAAGGGCAGCTGGTGTTTTCAAGTGAGGTAAATACAGTTACAAAGCTAACAGCAACAATATATTAATTGTAAAGGAGTAGCAGATTAATACATTTATAATAAATTAGAAATTATGAATAAGAAACATCTCTGTAAACGTTTTGTTTGCTAGAGGCTCTCTGTAGCATTAACCTGACCTAAATAACTCAATATAGGACTAACCATTAAATGATAGTCAGTGCTTTTCTCCAAAGACCAGCTCTGCACAATATGTAATCCGTTAATCCATATTGCATATTGGTCATTAACAATTTTCTATGTTTTTGTTAATGAAGTATTCGTATAATCCAACATACATTAATTATTTCGGTCCAAATAAAGCCACCTTTAACCATGTCACATTATTGGTTCACCAGTGAGTTTCTAATATGTTGCAGTTGTAATACATATATTGCCACTGTTGGAACAAAAGCTTAGCCTATATCTCCAAAATAAAGTCAATGTAACAACTAGTTTCGGACCTTTTGGTTCATTCGTCATAAAATGTTCATATAAAGTAAAAGGCAGCTGTCATTTTCAAATTGTGTTAAAAAAAAAATGGAGGTTTTGATCTGTGCAACGATATGATTGGTGGAAATGCTCTCAGTCTGCAGTAAACAGCATTGTGATTGGTTAACGGGCTCATTTGCATTTTGCAGTCTGGCAGTGCTAGTATTTTGTCCATGTCCAGCATCCCTCATATTGTATACGTATGCCATACTATATAGGTGGCCCAAAGTTTGTTTTTTTTTTTAATTGATGGCCAGCAGTTTTAATAATCCTGGTCAGTTTATTTTTGCTTATAATCAGTAGCGGCAACAGAACATTTTGAATGGGCACAACAAATTCAGGAGTCGGCCAAATCTGAATTACGCTCTTGGGCTACACCAAATAAACTAGTAACCAGACATACAAGCTAAGCGATGACATGGAAACAAAGGAAAAATGCAACTGAGACAAAATTTATGCTTTCAGATTTAACCCCTTAAATTCCCAGACTTATTACATACAAAGGCTTGTTGTTCAGTAACTACTGGGACTACAGTGCAAACTGGCTCAGCTATTCTTAGGATATTGAAATGTGTAATAAAACTTTCTTTGAATTGTAAGTTTTTGAATTATACTTCTACCAGTTGCCCTACTTAGTGATGCAGAAGTCCGGGTTTTCTATAGTCGCCTCGATTCAAACGATTTAATTTTAACCGGCAGTGCCAGAGCCACTGATAAAGAGATTAAACCATCCAAAATGTGGTTTACACAATTTTTGAGTAGCTACAGATCACATTGATATGATGAAGTCATATCATCACATGTTGGAGTCGAAGACTGACCCACACTGCTCATGTGAATATGTTGATATTTCTCAAAAAAAATGATATTTAACCACATAACACCATGCTAAAGTAGGCTACACCTGACTGTTTCTGAACATCGTATTGCTGCCGTTGAGTGTAGCATTTAGTGTGCTTGTTAGCTAACAGTTAGCCTACGCAGTTAGTCCCATAACAAAAGAGCTGCTACTGATTTCCTTTTAATTGTTTAAACTATGTAAATCGCTGTTGTCGGAACAAAACCTTGTATCTCCAAAATGGTAGCTTTACAGAAGAAGGAAAAAACCTACTTTACTTTTAATGTAAGTCAATGGAGCCAGAATTTTTTCCAAAACATTTTGGGCCGTTTCTTTTGGTCCATTCATCATGAAATTTATATACAATGTAAAGGACAACAGGCAATTTTAAATTGTCGAAAACTGAAAAACAACAAAAAACGGAGATACAAGGTTTTGTTCCGACAGCAGCGATATGAATGTCATGGCCATCCTCAGGCCATATACAATGTGGTCTGAATGTCTGAAACCACACTGAAAATCTCGTATTTTGTTAATTTAAACCTGGAAAGAAACAACAGAATTTTTTAGAATCTATAAAAATGTATAAGTTATGACAATTGAGACAAAGAAGAAATATTCGAAATTCTGCACTACCTCATGGTCAGTATTGAAATTGAAGCATATTTGTGAAATTGAGAGTGTTAAGGCCTTTGTACAACAGGTCAGATTTTTTTCATTGAAACATGTATTCAGAAGACTCTCAGGTGGATTTGATCTACTAATCAGAGGCTTTTGCACAAACTTATGGAGCCCATGCCAGCTTCAGCACACACTTGCTGGTAGTCTATCCTGGACCATAAAGAAAGCTGTAGCATGCGTTTATTAAGTCTGCTGCAAATGTAATAATATATACAGACACTTCAGGTATTCATACTGCAACTTGGAAGAATAAACATGACTACAAATAAATAATAAAGAACAGATTGGGGGCACATACCAGATACAGAAATTCTTAAATTCATGTTCAATTATTCTACTTTTCACTCAAATTATTATGCTGATATTCTCATTTGTGATGAAAAACTTTGTATTAAATTAGAACTGAAAGCAAAATAGAAGCATTTTCATCATGAGTCTCAGACTTCCAGACCCCACTGAATGTTGGTTAACTTGGGTTAATAATATGTTGAATGGAAGTTAGTAGACTACATTACATTACTGTCAGATCTTTCACATTAACGTGTGTTTTTTCAAGCCTGGTTAATAAAAAATGAAGTGCTGTGTTTGATGTTTTCGTAGGTTGTGTCCGTGACTTTAGGTTTGTCGGTTAACAATTAATCAGCGACTAATAGCAGTCAGTTATCAGTCCAGAGAATTTGCCCAAGCTCGCATTTTCAGTTGGCATCAAAAAAATGGGATTTTGAATATGTCACATAGTTAGTGAGCACATTTTTGTGGTGTGTTGGTGAACTTATTAATAAGCTTGTTATTTTGAAAGTGAGTTGAAACTGTTATTTTGTAGAGATGTAAAATTTAGTGTTTTATTTATTGTGACTAGCATTTGAGCTTGTGGCAGGACGTTAGATTGGGACACTGTAAAGCGCAAAAGCAGTTGTCAAATATTGTACTTTTATAATGTTGATAGCTCTAATAAATCGAAACCAGAAACATGTTAATGTAAGTCATGTTTTCGCCCTCTTCTTTCTTCAACTCTATTGGAAAATGTATCGGAAATCTAATGAAAAATCGAATCAAGGCGCCACGTTACTGTATTTACTGTACCGAATCATTTTCTCAGGGCCAGTGACAAAAGTGGGTGGGCGTAGCCCCCCTGAACCCAATCATGTCAGCAGGACTGCTTATAATGGAACGTCTGAGGAATTAACCACCTCACTGGCCACCTTGTCTTAAACTGAGACTTCAGCATAACTGCAACATCCCTGCGTCTTTGTTGTGGTCTTTTGTAAACCGACGTTCCACTTCCTTTCTCACAGCTTAGCTGCTCGCATTGACTATTCACTCTGGGGCGGTTACGCTGCGGCCTCACGGTAAGAAAAGCTGCGTGTTTTTGTCCTCTGTAATCTGTTCAGCTTTATAACCCCTCTCCAAACGCTGTGTACACAATGATTTGAGTGGAATGTACGAGCTGCCAAAGTCACTGTCACACACACCCCGCTGCACTCACACACACATGTTGGATCATGTAGTCCCTCTCTCTCTTTCTTTCTCTGGCAGCACGCTCTACCCCGTGTGCGTACACACTGATCTCATTCAGAGAATATTCCTCAAATTCGGCTCAGGAAGGAAGAGTCAGAGACGAGAAAGAAAGAGGACAAACTGACACAGAGCACTGCTTAAAGCAACAGCTTGGCCTAAGTGTAATGTACCCAGTTTACCCTCCCAC